GGCCTCCCTCGGGCTGCGGACACACACCAGGCTTTCACTCCAGTGAGAGCACAGAGTGCTTGGTGGGCTGGAGCAGGAGTGAACAGTGCACAGGAGACAAAGCAATGCTCCAGTGGAGCCCCTCTCTCCCACCTCTCTCCCTGTAAGGAGTCATTCTTGTGTTGAGCCAAAACCAAACCGCACACCTCGGCCAGCTTTCCGCTCAAAGGTCAGCAGAGTACAAAATTCTTCTTAGCAGGGTCACACAAGTGGAAAGGGGTGGGTAAAAATTTGTCTGAATAAAAGACCAAGCACTACCGGATTATAAAAAAAACTATTTTAAAAACAACACTTTCACATTTTTATAATCCAGCAGTAAATAAAGGAAGGCAGAGGCATTGTTGGTGATGGCTGGCTTTTTCTTGTAAAGAGCTCATTGATTTTGGACTGCATCCGTCTCCAGCCTTGTGAGAGCACTTCACATCGTAATGAACTACAAAGCAGAGTGCACTTCTCCAGCCAAGGCTATTTTGGTTTTTTAAATTTCATTGCGCTCCAACACTATAAACCAGCCACCCCTATTCCAGCTGATATTCCTAAATTCAGTAAAAATAAGTGTCAGCAACACTGCAGCTCAGCCAAATTAAAACAGAGAACGTTTCTGACTCCGTACAGCTCAGCGTGCCAGTATACTGTATTGCTTATTTCTGGGAATCCTCAGGTCAGCTGCTTACTGGGCCCACTGATGGCATCCGTCCCGTGACGCACAGGAACCAACCCACCCCTCCCATTCGCCAGGGAAGATGCCAGAACAAAAAAAACTTTGTGCTTAAGGACTTTTTTGGGTCAACTGAGCATCTAAGTCCAGGCATTTTGCTGAAACCAGGAGTCCTGGGCTCCATCCCGGTTCCTCCCTCCGCCGTGTACCATACCTGTCCTTCCCAGCTGCTTGCTTGGATCAGGTAACAGGGCAACACGATGCGTGTGCACAGCGATGGCAGCACGGCTCCCGCTATCAGAAACAGCAGCAGGGAGCCTTCCCAACCAGCACCTCCCCAGTTCCATCTACAGCAGAGCTCTGCCACAGCCCTTGCGTTAGGGGTGAGAGGAACAGAGCACCACACAGCTCATCTACCCTGCTGCAGCTGGGAGAATACGGGAACACCTGGTCCTGGCGTTTGGCCTCCCAAGGTCAAATGAACACTACTCCAGAGCACATCACAAAATTACTGCTTTATGACCAACACGCTCTCATTCATGAAAAAGCTTTCTCTTCAGGGGCTGTGAGCGAACAATTCCTGTTGCCTGCTGCAATAACAAAAAGTGCAGCAAAGAACAGTAATTTTTTTTAACTGCTGAGCTCAAAGCTTTCCACTGTATCTCTGATACCTGCTAATTTGGTGACTGAAATGCGATGCAGTTTTCAAAGTATCTTGCTCTGCCTCTCTGCAGAGACCATCAGCAGAACAAATACGTTACCAGCATTTGGATTCTCATTAGCTCAAATCAGCCTCAGCACAAGATGACAGGAGCAGAGCCAAGCTTTCCATGCGCCCTCACACAGCACCTGTCAGCACTCCATGAAGGACACAGAAGTGGGCGGCCAGGTTCCTCTCCGCTGTCTGTCCCCAACAAAGCCTGCCCGTCAGGCTGCTGCTGCCTCCTCTGACAGCACCTTTCAGCCCGCGCCGCTTCTAATCCACTAACGATGAATCCGCTGCCTGGCGTGGAAGCGGCCCCGGGGAGCGCAGGGACTGCACGAGGGAGCTGCAGGGACACAGGGGGCTGACCGTGCCAACTAACGTGGAACAGCACCACAGAGACATCAGTCTAAGCTAAAACAACAGATTTGTTTATGTGCAAGCCTAAGAAAGGTTGGGACAAAGAGAACAGCAAGGTCAAAGGAGCATCTTCTGGTTAAAGGGGAAGCGAGTTGCAAAATGAAAGCATCTGGTTTGATCATTTTGATAGTTCTGCTGGGCACTTCAGGCTGCAGCCACAGGAGCAAAGACAGCAAGGCGAGTGGATCTTTGGATGGCACAAACTGACCCTCCAAAACTTACCCAGAACAAAGCCAAGAGGGTGACACAGCAGGACCACGACAGCCGGCCCAGCGTGCCGAGCACCGCACCGCCCGAGTGCCGGTGTACGGTTCCGCAGGAGCCCGGCGGGGAGGAAGGCTCCCCGGGAAGCCAGTGGGCCCTTGTCCTCCCACCCACCCTGGTACTCACGGGGAGGGCATCCGATGCCAGCGTGCCTCTGCCCACTCCAGCCAGGTGTCACAGCAACTGCATTAGAGACAGGAGTGTAACCAAAGCACCTCCACGCAGGAGCACGACTTAAGTGTTGGAGCAAGGACTGGGGTGCTAACACTGAAAAATTTAAAGGGGTAAGAAGAGCAGGACCGAACCCCAGCACTAAGGCTCTCCACGTGTACAGATTAGGTATCAGCCCACACGTAACAAGCCTGCCCATAGCTGTGGCTATTTAATCACGTCTTACTAACTCATTTTGCACAACTAAATCCAGCACCTGTGAAAATTGTCATTTCATCTATCTGCAAAGGTACTTAAATAACATTTTCCAATTTCAAAGAGAGAAACCACAACAAAATCTCTTCAAGTCCAAAGTGTCCACAGTTAACTGCAGTACCCAGGCAGCGAGAGGGAATATTTAACCAAACATATCTCAAAACTCCCACTCGCATGAGAAAGCTCTTTCCTATTAATACTTACAGTATCTAATTGCAGGTCCTCAGAACTATCTTTTGACCTCCATGAAAGGAAGTAAGGAGATGAGAATTTAAAAAACCCACACATTCTCTCTGTCCCCCCCTCCAAAAAGTTGCTCTCTTCCCATCAAAATTCCCACCACTTTGTTCTCAAAGCTGCACTCCTGAAAATCCATTTCTTCTACTGTCCTCATCTTGAAAGTTATTTCATCATTACAGGTATAATATTAACAGTATTGTCTGCTACAGCAGTCAAGATTCCCCTCCCTCAGCAGTATGCAGCAAGGCTAACTACTGCTTTGACTACACTAGCAGTACTAAAAATGTGTACATACACAAGGAAGTAAATTGTGCGTGAAAACTGCAAGTAAACATGACCACATACAAACGAACAAACTGCTATTTTTTAGCAAGTCTGAGCCAGTTCTCACTGTTGCAAGAAACATGAAATCTGAGAGGCACCTGAAAGCTTCTAAAAGAAGGATATTTCTCTTCTCAGATTTACAGATATGCTTTTGGCACACTCACACTTTACCACTCAAAATGGCAACAAACCAAAACAGACAAAAGGACAGCTTTAATTCACTGCAGAGATCATCTCTCTCAGCAAGTGTCTCACACAGTACCACTCTTACCAACAGAATGTGTGTACAGCACAAGAGAGAGAGGCTTTTCACTGACACCTGGGACAAAACCAGAGCAAAAGCAGCTCCCAATGCCAAAGAGGAAAGTCACATTTCTCAAGCGTTCCCACCTAACGTAAACAGAAGGCCAGCCATGTAACAAGTTACAACCACCAACCTATTTACCCATTTCTGGAAAACGCTTGTAAATTTAAACTGTGTGAAATGTCTACCTACTTCTTTCATTCTATCAAAAGGCTCCATCAGCAACAGACAATTAAGCTGCTGGCCTGACCTCCAGGGGCTGGTAGGTTAATCTGTTCTGACCTTATCTTTATTCAATCACAATACTGAAAGATTGCCTGAATAACTTACCAGCAGTGAACAATGCCAACAGTCACCCTTTCACTACGGTGCTCCTCCAAACTGCCCCCCAAACAAATTTTTTTAATCATGGGGGATATTTAAAAAACCTCAAAAATTGTAAAATAAACCAACATGCTAATTCTCACTCATTGGTACAGAACAATGAGAAGTAAATGAGCAAAAGCAAAAAAAAATTTCTTATCTTGCCCTTGCACATCTCTCACTTCCACCACAGCTTTTGTCAATGTCAGATAATATGCTCTCTCTTGTTAACTGCCAATCACATCTTTTATTTACAGTATTTTCACTCGAAGAAACTCAACATAAAAGCTGCTATTTGATAAAAACTGCCTTGTAACAATAGGCTTAATCACACAGACCTCAACACTTTGTATTTTAACAACTACTGGCTTGTTTTCAAAACCCATTCTGTGAGGGTGCACTAAACATAGCAAAGCAGCGAGTGAAAATTAGGGACATAGTTAGGCCCACAGAAGTCACTAAGCTGGATTCATCACTCAGTGATTCATTTACATCACTCAAAACCTATATTTAAAGTTCACAGCCTATGCTCAAATGCCTTTCTGGAGAAAAGCCTCCAGTGCTCGGTGCAGTACAGGGCACAATCCCACACAAGCAGTCTCCTCCCTCCAATAACACAATAACCACCCATGTGAAGAAGCCAGAGACTCACATCAACCTGTTAGAGCAAGGCAGCTTTGAGAACAGCAAGAGTCACACAAACAGATTTTCAGCGCGGTTCCTTCACGCGTTCACGTTTCACTGTGTGGCCGCAATCCTTGAGAACAGACCACTCTTCACGGGACCTGCCAGGCAGTGAAACGTGTTGACACAGAGCGCTGCGTTCTCATTTGACACATCAGTCAGAGCACTTATTCTTCAGCATCAACAGGCAAATGCATTTTCATTTAACTTTCTACACCTGTAAATAGCTTAGCACAAGAGAATACGAAAAAGCACAACCAACCATCAGGCCCCTCAATGACATCCAAAACTGCCTGGGAAAAAATCCAGGCCAATCTTTTTTGAAATGATCCCAGGAAGAAAGTCTAAGTTTAAATCTACTCCTAACTAGAGTTAGGCAGATGCTTAAAATACCAGTCAAGATTAAGTACCATCACCTTCTTCCAAAAGCAGGATCAAAGAACAGAGAAGTAAACCACAAGCCACAGTACGCGACACAAGAGAAATTAGGAACAAAGCCAAGAGCTTTTCCTTCCGATTGCACAGGATAATTTTTAAAACTACCAACAGGACTGCAGTGCCTCAACAGTTCCTACCTTGAAAAGCTGTGATATGACCAACAATCATGTACTTCAGTTCAAAATTCAGCGCCTGGATGCTCTGCGTCCTCTCCCGTCGGACAGCTGCCTGGTAGCTTTCTTCCATCTTTCTGGTGCAACAGGTTGGTGCTCTGTGTTGACAGATCTGTAAATCTGACTCTTGAAGCAAACAAGAAACACATAATAATTAGAAAACTCTCTAAATTACATCATAAACATAAATAATGCTTCTTAATGTCAAAGCTACAACTGCATTAAGAATTTTGAAACAAAACACAACCCATAAGGGCTGATATTGCACAACTCAGTTACTGTCTCAAGAACACTAATGTATGACTTTCACCTCCATTTGGATAGCATCCTACTATCAGCTGCTAACTTATTTTACATTGCCATTAAAAGCATTGGGCTCTAAATCATCTAAACACAGTCAAGGGCACAGCAGAGTCACCCAAGCCTCACACCCCAAGGGGCAACACTTCCACCGCACACCTTGTGCTAAGGGCATCGTAACACGAACAGCCGAGTGGAAACCACACCTCAAACTAGGGTGCAATACTCACCCACCTGCAGTGCCTCAAGGAACCCCCATTCACCTCCTACAACAGGGGAAACTTCTCAAAAATATTTGAGCTCTGAAGCAGCTCACCCAAAAAAAAAGATAAAAGCCACACCAACCAGCACCACCACTGGGAAATCAGAGACTGCGGTTTCAGTTTCTCGGCCTAACGCACACGCAGTCAACAAGCCTTTACCTGAGCCAAGAAGAACCATTTTTAAACTAGCCATATAGCGACAGATCGCTGTCTACTTAGCAGGAACCTTAAAATCTTTGAAACCAAGTTCCAGCCTGCCTACACACAATGTAAAGGCACCGAAATCACTCCCACCTCACAACTACAGAGAAAGTTGAAAGTTGGTTAAAAACTTCTGTGGAATATTATGGGGGTTTTGGTTTGGTTTTTTGGTTTGGTTTTTTGATCATTTCATCTTTGCACAAGTTTCAGTAAGTTTAGTGTCCTTGATAGAGAACCTATTTTGGTTTGGTTTTTTGGTTTGGTTTTTTAATCGTTTCATCTTTGCACAAGTGTCAGTAAGTTTAGTGTCCTTGATAGGAAACCTGCATCACCAGGAGCTGCGATGGACACTGAGGGTCTATTTGTTCCACACCATGGGATTTGCAGGTGTCAATGTTCTGGAAAGGAGCTCTTGCAGACTACGGATAAATATATTCTGGTGCTTCACAAATACAGGTTTTAAGAAGGGGAGGAAAAAAGCAAGGGACTATTAAGCAGAGCAAATCCAAAACCAGAGTCATGTGTAAAAAAAATATATACCAGAGCCAGACTAGTCACACTCCATCAGGCCATGCTGCTCCAGAGGGTTTCATACCCCAGGCATTAATGAGGTATGACCCGGACCAGGCGCTGGGACAGAGATATTAATGAGCAATTACCCTGCATTAATTCTCACCAGCTGGCCTTGCAGGGTAACACATAGCCAGACTCCGCATACAGCTGACAACGACGAAAAACAAGAGGGTACAAGGATGCACATCAAAAAAGCAGCAGAGGAACATCCACCAACCAGGCTCTGCTCAGGGCCAGCTCCAGGCCAACAGCTCATCGAGACCAAACCTGCAGGGAAGAGCTTCAATAAATCTCCCTTGCCAGGAAAAAAATAAAACCACAGCACTGGCTGAAACATTTCACTTCACTTGAAAATATTGCTCCCAGTTTACAACTCTCATTTGAAAGGGCAGCTAATTTATGTCAAAAAGGTCAAAACCAAAGTGTAATATTTGAATTGAGCTACGTTTTTTTCTCAGTTCACAAATATGAAAGTTGTCACAGGCTGGGCTGACTCAGGCTACCATTTTGGAGGTGGATTTGTTTCACGCTTCAATCTGATCTCCAAAACAGGAAAAACCAACTCTGCCCACGCCAAGGCGAAGCCCCCGAGCCGGGACGAGCCCCCCGCCCGCTCCGGCAGCCAGGCAGCAGCGGCAGGGCTGCGGGCTCCCCACCGGCTGGGCACGCGCCTGCCAGAGCAGCTCTCCCGGGCTGAAATCAGCTCCCTGGCCAGGCTAATTTCACCTTGGATCAGCTCCCTGGCCCAGTTCACCCCTCAAACATACATCTGTCCTGCCCCAGGGAACCGGGGGTCGGGGAAGGACCGGTTCCCTGAGCTGGCACTGCAAAGCGTACGCGAAATTATAGCGGACTGCTCAGCAACTACGTCCTTTTTGCAATTTGGTGCCCGAGCAGAGGGGCTGTAAATGTTACCCAGCCCCTGCAACGCCGAGCTGCTGCTACTCGCAGCATTTCTCCTCGCAGCAGCCCCCCGAATCTTTGTCTGCAAGGTTTCTGCAAAGCTCAAGTCTGTACCAGAAGGGCTTGAAAGCCCGGGCGCTCCGTGCTGCTTCGTGCCGGTGCTGCAGGGAAGCCCCGCACAGCTCCCAGCGCTCCCCTCCGAACCGAGGCACCGCAGCAGCCTGGGTACCCTCCAGAGAGCCAGCAGAACACCACCAATAGCTCAGCACTCCTGGGATTCCCCACCCAGCTACCTGCTCTGATGAACCTCTAGGAGCCTGGAGATGAGTTTTTGCTGGTCCAGAGCCAAACCGATGCAGAGGGCACTCTTCAACAGCGACAGCACTAAGGCCCTGGCAGCTCAGGAGCCTGACGTAAAACAGAGAGCGTTAGGAGGCCATCAAAGAGCAAAGCCCTCTCTGCCAGCAGTACTGTCGGGTCAGTACCGTCACGCACAGAGCTTGGCAATCTGCTTGCTTCAGTCCTAGCCTGGGGGTATCGCTTTTAACACAGTTAGAGAAACCTAATAAAAGTTTTCAGTACTATACATGCCTGGGTACCAAGATGAAATTACAACTGATTAGTAAAATCTTGAAGTCTTTAGTAAGTCTGATACTAAAATTACCTTATCTCACTTCTTTCATCTTAACACAAAACACCCTCTAGGCCAGAAGAGGAGGAACCCAGAAACGCTGCAGAGACGCAGGCCAAGCCCCACAGCTCTCGCCTGGACCCAGGCAGCACCCACCCGCAGTCAGGGTGGCACTGCCACCCAGCAACCTTCAGGGCCAGCCCCTCCTCCTAGTTGAGGAGCAAAGCCATTCTATACACCAGAGAAAAAAGCACCGTTTGTGAATGAGGGAAGAGAGCTTACCAAGAGCACTAATTCAGCAACTGACCCTGCTAACTCCTCTCTAGGTATTTCTGATCTTTCTCCAAGCTGCCCCTTGTTTCCCAACTAATAATTTAGCTTGGAAGGAAACTCTAGTTCAACCTTCCCCCTAAAGCAGGTCAAACTACACAAGGGCTTCATTCAGCCAAGTTCTGAGCATCTCCAAGGATGGATGATCCCACAGCTTCTCAGGGCTTCTGTTGCAATGTTTGACCCCCCTTGTTAAACTAAAAAATTGTATCTGATGAGAACTTCCCATGTTCCAGCTCGTGCCCGTTGCTTCTCAGCTATCACCGTGTGCCTGCAAGAATCTGGCTCCACGTTCTCTCCTGCCTCCCAGCAGACAGAGCTGAAGACAGCAGTACGATCTCCCGCAGTCTTCTCTTCCCACAACTGAACAGACCCAGCTCTCTACTCCCACGTGTGCTCCAGCCCCCCGACCACGACAGAGCCCCCCGCTAGACTAACTCTAGGCCACAGCTGGGAAGCATCTGCATCCAAGACACCTCTCATTTCCTTTTCTTATGCATGACCTTACTGACAGAGCAGAACACCTTCCACTGTACATGCTCGGGCTCCAACTCTACAAGGTTTAGGGCTTTCCTAAAACAAGTCCATTTTCTGTTTCAGATCAGATGGCAGGACTACTCTGACAATTATGCACATTATTTTTTTGTTCAAGTCTTTTTCCCTTGAGTACTGGTTAAAACTGTGGCTAAGCTTTGTATTTTTTGAAGTGGGAAAACTATCGACTTTACAACCTTACTGTTATTACAAAAAACAGGATAAAGTATCTTGCTCCACTTCGAAAAACAGTCACATTCAGAAGAGTAAGAAAAGTTCTATTATGCTGGAGGCTAAAGCATGAGCATTTTGGAAAGCAACAAAGATCGCTAATCCAGACTCCTCTGCAACCCTAAATACACTCAATACCTGCCAAAGGCACCACCCTCAAACACCTCCCTGTCACAATTATAAATTACTTCAGGTGCCAAACGCACAGAAAACTATGCATCCATCCGGCCAGCTCCGCTGAAACCTGCTGTGGAGTATTTTGCTGTGTGTTTTGGGGGCATTTTTTGTTTTGTTTTAAATCAGCAGAGGTTTTAGGCTCCATTCTGAGCTTCAGTACAAGTAAAGTCAAAGAGACTTTGGCCATTAAAACTATCTCAATTACAGAATCACAGAATAGTAGGGGTTGGAAGGGACCTCTGTGGGTCATCTAGTCCAACCCCCCTGCCCAAGCAGGGTCACCTACAGCAGGCTGCACAGGACCTTGTCCAGGCGGGGCTGGAATATCTCCAGAGAAGGAGACTCCACAACCTC